ACATCCGACAGTATCAATGGGCCCGGCAAAACGCGTGCTCCATATACACCACGAGGCAGACGACGACACGGTTAAGCGTGTCGCGTAGATCATTCGACCGTGTCGTGCGTGCATGAGATACACATGAGAGAATGCGTGAAGGAAGACTCACCTCTATCAAGAGAGTCTTTATTCTGCTCCTCAGTGTCGCACACTATCGTAACCCACTTATACTCCTCGTGTGTACACGCACAAAAACTACATGTTGCATTCGAATAAATTATTTCAAATATTATTTCACGAGTTTATATAACCGCAAATCTATTATAAATTTATTATAAACCTCAAATTTGTTCGAAATACATTTTGAGCAAGTTTAAGCATTGCAATCAAGAATGTTACATTAAAACACAAATTTAATTTGCTTAGAGTCGAATCAACTTTTTCATTGACAAAGTTATAACAATATATTCTTGTTAAGAAAATATATTCTTTTTTCGTGTACATGATAAAAAATGAGCTTTCCTAAAATTTGTGATGAATATATTTTAATACAATGATCAAGAAAATGTTCTTTCTTGCAGATAACTATTACTTAAAAAAAGAAAAGTAAACAGAGTGATCGCTTTTTTAGCAGTAGCATATTTTTCTGTGTGCACATACACAGGACAATACATATTATATTCAAGTAAACGTTATTTGTTTCAAATATCCCGTAAGTTTATATATTCATAAGTCTATCATATAAGAGTTCATCATAAGCATTAAATTTATTTAAAAGACAGTCTGAATCCTAGTAAGTTTATTTAATTCAAGAATATTAAATCAAGACAAAAAATCAATTTGCTAACATAATAATAAACTTTTTTAAAATTTGTGAGTATATTTTAATTATGATAAACTATAATAAGTATATTTTGACTGTGATCAAAAAAATATTCTTTGTTGAAGGTAACCATTACTTCAATGAAGGAAAATAAATTAAATAATCGCTTTTCTTAGCAGTAGAACGATATTTTTCTGTGTGTACAATGTGTGTGTGTGATGTCTACTTATAAGTACGTAACTCTTCACTTGCATTAAAAAAAAGTTTTGCTGATACAAATAGAATTCTAACTCCCGTATTAATAACAGTTACTTGAAACTTGTCTTACGTGGGATACTCAGATTTGAATTTAGAGTTAGGTAAGAGTTTTTTATATGAATTATATAATGACATTACATTCGCAATCGTGATTCAGCTAAAAACTCACGTCTAATTCTAAATTAAAATCTGCGTGTCTCACCTGAGGCGAGTTTCAAGTAACGACTATTAATACGGACCTACGTGTCACAGTTAAAATCTATCACTACTTTTGTATCTGTTAGAAAATTGCTTGTGATACGTAGAATTTACATCAGCATTCTAGCAATATTTGCAAGCGAATTTAGGTGTTTGAGGATTATACATTTGTTCGTCTCGTCACGAGACAAGTCTTTTTGTCTATCACAGTCAATTTTTATAAGAAGTGTGAGTAGCATTAATCTAGATGGGAACAGATAGACTTTCTTGTCTAATTTCACAAACAGTTCAGATAGGAATTTTGTCTCTGTCTTTTGTATCGGTTAAATAGAAAACGTGTGCAATATCGCGATGTTTGCCAATTATTTATCTTTGGTCTCCTTGTCCTTATGTCGGCTAACTTCTCTTATCTAAATAATTTTCACTGCGTGACTACAAGACTATGTTTTTAAGTGTTGTTACTTCCTTACGTACATATTCAAAATTTTTGTACATTGTTGTATATATTCAAAATTTTTCAGAGAAAAAAAGTGGAATCGAAAGAGAGTTAATTCAGCCGAATGTTTTCGATCGCGGTAACAGAGATATCGTTTCTTGTCAATGAGTTTCCGTCTCGGTTCCAGTTACGCGAACTATGATTTTTTCGTATACGTGCTTTTCAAATGAGATGTGTCTCGCGAGTGCATTTCCAGCTTTGAACCGCGTGGCCTCGTGCGCAATCCGGAGTCCGAGACGAGATATTGGCGGAAGTAACGGGAAATAATGGGATGAGATAATCGCTCGTCTGAGAAGATGGCTCATAAAGGTGGACGCGAATGCCAAGAGCCAGAATAAACGTCGAAACGCCTTCCAAACGACCCAATCAAAGTCCAATTGGAGGCAATTGATTGCGCTTGATTCTTGTTATTAATTAGTCATCCGATCGATATGGATTGTATTATGCAAAATTGATTCTTCGGAAACGTATTCACTTTAATCATAAAATTAACATGAGGAAAGAAAACAATGAGGAAATGTAAGTTAATGAGTAAATTAAGAAGTTAAGAAGTTAAGAAGGAAGACATGTTAATTTTATGATTATTTATTGATTGTTAGAACACAAGGAAAGGAAAGTGCTCGGAATATCTTAGAGGTGTGCTTAATCGTTTGCAAGTATTATTGTTTATTTATATATATTTTTTTTATTTCGATGTACTTTGTTGGAATTTTGAACATGCATTTCCTCGTATATTTAACGTCATTAATCAAGAGCTTCGCAGTGAATAGCCAGCCTTAAAGTCTTAAAGTACTATCAATATTAAGGATTTCCCATAAAAGATCTCTCCATTCAAGCAATATATTTGTCTATAAAAATTCATTAAGATCAATGATTTCATCTTTTACGCGATTTTCTCCAATTAAACACAAGATATATTAAAAACTAATACGACATTTTTATTTTTAAAGAAGACACATAAGTTAAATATAATAAGAAATTACTAACTTCTGCATTTTAAAGGTCCATCTAATGGGATTGGCAGTAGGCAGTAAGATCTAAGTAGTAAGCAAATTGACCAACCACAGTCGATTATTCCTGTAATAATTGAATTTGCTTACCGTTTACGACTTGCCAATCCTATTGTAGATGGCCTTTAAATCGGGCAAGCCATGTTTGTGTATATAAAACAAATAAATTTTTTAGAAATTTAAAAATTGTATCATACCACACACAGATTGCATACATAGGAAAATATCATTCTATTGTTTAAAAAACCGATTACTCAGTTTATTTTCCTTCTTTTGGGTAATAGTTATCTTCAACAAGGAATATTTTCTTGATAATAGTCTTAAAATATATTCATCACAAATTTTAGAAAAGCTCATTATCATGTGATCAAAATTTTAGAAAAGATCATTATCATATGATCAAAAGAGAAACTTATTCTGTTTTCAAGAACAATATGAAACTTTATCTTTAACGAAAAGTTTGACTTCTATATAGTAAAAACAAACCGTTTTTTTTTTAGTATTTTTGACTAAAATGCTAAACTTGTTAGGAATGAAATTGTATTTTGAATAAATTTGACATTTATTATAGGCTTATGATAGATTTGCAAATGTATAAACTCTTGTGAGAAATACTTGAAACAAGTTAACATTTACCTGAATGTAGTATATATTTTTTGTGTATGAAAAGTCACGTAAATAATAGAAAAAATCTCTTTTCATTTAACTCATAAATATCATATATAGATTACTTAATGCCATTCATGTGACGCTAAATCTTTTTTTGCAGACTTTTTTTGCAGTATTATTTATCTTCTAAGGTTTTCCTCTAAGGCTTCCACAAACGTTTCCGCGAAGCTAATTCGTCAATAATCGATAATGTCAACACCTCTCGAACGGAAAAGTCATGTTCTTTTTAGAAGCAATGTCGCAAGCGCGCTTCCAGCTTCCGAGTGAGCGACCTCGCGTGTTCGCGAGGTCGTTTCTCGCACGTGCAATTATTCGCGGAGAGTTCCTCAACATCGAGCAGCGCGCGGCGTATGAGCTTGCGAGACGTCAGTTACGTAAATCGTTAGTCTTCATTGGCCGATTGGCGACCCTTCCTGCAGACCAGAATCACCTTCAATGCCTCCTTCGATAATCGCCTCTAAATTCCGATTTAGAGGCGTTCAAGAGGGTCAGCTTGTTCGCTTACAAGTGCGGTTCCTCTCGATGATCATCGACTGACTTGCACCCATGAAAACACCGTGAAAGCAGCATCATGCTGCTCTTCCTCTCTTTCGTCGAGTGAAAGACTCGTCTAATAAATCTGACATCCCATCTGGAAAAAATCATTCGTTTAGAGTCCTGGCCTTGAAGCCTCTCGCCACGTCAATTACCCATCGGATTAATGAAGACATCATCCTGACGTGCTAGCATAATTTCTCGCATAATTACGCGCAAGCCTCGTTCGGATCCTTTATGCAGACGATTACGTGATACGCGATGTGCATGGAAAAGCAGTCACGTCTCGCGATCGTGCTGCGACCTCTCTCGATGGCGCGAGTTGCAGCACCTCGGGAAAGTTCTCTGAAGTCAAGACTTCCTGCAGATACATCCGGTAGATCTTCCTCTTTCTTCGTTGACGATACAACTGTTGATGCACCTGGCTTATAAGAGCCACAGTCGATTTTACGGCAAAGTTTATTTATTTAAAAATGACTATTTTGTCAGACACGCTTAATAATGAAATATTTCGCCTATGTTGGCGATCCTCTTTAACAATAATAGTACTTGATTGCAAATAGAAGTACTTGATAGTACTTGATTTCCCAAATTGCATATTTTTGATAGGACTTAATCATAGCTGTCAACTTTTGTGCACCAATTCTTGACATATTTTCGATCTTAATTATATTTGTAATCTATCGTGGTAATTGTTTTTTATACCTAATAAAGTTAACAGCAACAACAATAATAAAATGATACTAATATCTCTTTACTTTTCTGTCTTCTTCCCTCTTCTTGCTTGCGAATAGTATTTCTTTTGTGCACTGAGAAAAAATATTTAAAAATTTACATTGTGGAATATAGAAAGTTGATCTTTATTAAAGCTTTCTCCTGTGAATAAACTTTATATTATTCCACAAATAAATTTTCAAGTGTTTCTTTTTCTCAGTTTGAGGGAGGGGGAAGCTGTGATGCACGTTTCGTTTACAATGAGTGAAATCGCTTATCGATTAGTGAGTTTATCTGACGAACGATTTGTCCCTAGGGCTCAGGCTCGCATACCTTGACCATCCCGCATGTGAAACCCACGTCAGCTGGCGTGAAATTCGGATGGATCCAAGGAGTGCTGATGCGATGTCTCCTCAACATCTGGGGTGTGATGCTCTTCTTGCGGCTGTCCTGGGTCGTAGCGCAAACCGGAGTCGGTAAGTGCCGCGTCTCGTTGAGTCATCTCGTTTCTCGGCTTAATTAAATTCTTGAGACTCCTAACGTCGATATTTGCAGGCCAAGGTATTTTATTGATCCTCACAACGACAGTAGTCACGACGATCACGTCCTTGTCGATGTCGGCTATCAGCACGAACGGTCTCATCAAAGGAGGTACGAAGTATTGAAATATGTAATGTATAAACAATGAAAAGAACATATTGCGCACCGTATTATATCCGAGGTAAATTTCCACAAGAAGAAAGGTGAAAGTTATTCGCCTCTCCTTATCAATTTCTCCGCGCGTCCGACAATATGACGCGCGTATCGGGCTAATTAATATTTTCATGAGTGAAACAATTGTTCACACATAACATAAATCGTCCCGACGAATTGTCGCGTTGACGCGACGGCGGCCAGTGTGGTAGATTATATCGTCTTATTTCTTTCTTTTCACAGGTGGAACATATTACATGATTTCCAGATCATTGGGGCCCGAGTTCGGCGGCTCCATAGGTCTCATCTTTTCCTTGGCGAACGCCGTCGCTTGCTCTATGTATGTGGTGGGTTTTTGCGAGAGCATGGTGGACTGTCTCAAGTCTTACGGCCTCTGCATAGTCGACTGTCACACTTCCGACATTAGAATCATAGGTTTGTGTCATATTGAGTTTAGAATTTTACTTCTCAAGTTTCTTCTAATATTGCAGGTGGATTTATTTACAACAGTAGAAGTGTTATAATTTGTTGAATTAAAATGTTGTAATTATGACTTCCTCGTCATGTAACTCTTGATTGATGATGTTAGAAGCAAAAAGATACACGTTAAAAATTCTTGCAGAATATGTTGAAATAAAAAGATATATTCATGAAATGACAATCGATCGGGCACATTTGTAAGATAGTCCTTTCCTTTTGCTCTAACAGTACTAAATTACCGTAAAATTAGCGTGATATATAACTTATCCCTCAAACCTATATTTTTTAGGATTTTATCACGTTAATGTTACGATTATTTATTGATTGTTAGAATAAGAGGAAAGTATTCGGATTATTTTACAAATTTGCTCGATTGCAAGTGTCATTTTGTGAACATATCATTTTATCACAAATAAAGAGCAAAAGGGTCTGAGCACGATCATGTAGTACAATTAACTAAAAATAATTTATTTATCCAAATTCAAATTGGTTTTCTTTAAATAAATGCAATTATCTCTTTATAATATAAATTAATTTATCTGATAAAACTTAAATTGATTATTTTTTTAGTTAATTGTACGACAACGTTTGTGAAATCATAATTTGTTTTCCATTTGTGATTAAATATCAGAGTTTTTTATTTTTCTGTTTCTTATATTATTTAATTTCAACATACTTTGCAAGAATTTTTAGCGTATATTTTCTCGCTTTTGACATCATGAATCAAAATGACTGCGGTGAGGAAACAGGAGCTTCCGCGATTTAGAGAAATGCTTGATTTGTCTTCCAAGTGCCGTTCTTTATAGATTTCTGATGTTTCGTGAACAAATTTATGAAAGGCACGACACTAAACTGGAAGCCAAATTAAGCAATTATGGAGCTTGTAATTTCTGTTTCAGAATTTGCGAAGGCGATACGAATAACGTATTGTTGCATTGAACTTTTGCAGGTTGCATAACAATTGTCGTGCTTCTATTAATCGTGATAGTGGGCCTGGAATGGGAGGCGAAGGCTCAAGTAGGTTTGCTGATGATCCTCCTCGTAGCTATTGGCGACTTCATGATCGGCACTTTCATAGGTCCCAAAAGCGTAGAGGAGAGAGCTAAAGGTTTCATCGGATACAACGGTAAGATCTCCGATATTCGGATGCGTCGCGTATCAACTTCTGCAGTTGTTACAGTAAATGCGAGATATTTAATTGTATTAATTACGTCGTCTTGCCACTTGCAGGTCAACTGTTTAAGGAGAATTTCTATTCGGACTACAGATACAAAGACGGCGTGGAACATAATTTTTTTTCAGTCTTGGCCATTTTCTTCCCGGCGGCAACAGGTATCCTGGCAGGTGCGAATATATCCGGTGACTTGAAGGTAATTTAATCCTTTTGTTTGTAGGAGATACTTAGATTTAAATATCGTTATCGCGTCTTTCACGTAGCGTAATTACCGCCTGTCTGATTATTCATCCACTTTGCATGCTCGATTGAAACTCCTCACAATGTGATAAATTTTCCCGTCTGATGTCTGATAACGAAACTTATGCTTGGTATCTCTTGATCAATGATCATTATCATTGTTGCCATGTAACACGCAGACATCTGCGGGAATTGCGAAGCGAGTGCTTCCGCTTCTGAAGTTTGTTTTGGGTTCGGTAGGATCCGCAAACGGCGATACCGAAGGGCACGCTGCTGGCGATTCTCTTGACGTCACTGTCGTATCTGATAATGGCGCTTATGGTCGGCGGTACCATAATGCGAGACGCAACTGGTGACGTTAATGATTTGTGGACGGTGTATAACAGTTCTCTTATGCGCGGCATAGTCAACGATACTGTGATCGAAAATAGTACGGTTCTCGCTGACGAGAGTATCAACCGCACTTCCTGGAGCATATACGGAACGGATTTCAACTGTACTGCAGGATGTCAGTACGGTAGCCAAAATAGCGCTGAGGTATTTGCACAACTATTAATTGAGATATCAGTCAAATAGTTAACCCTTATAGTCCAGGCGATCGCCCAGTTTTGAGCGATTTTTGTAGTTTGTAAATCAAAACCTTTTCGTATGTATCAAAGAGTAGATTAGTAAGAAAAATCCAACTGTATCATTTTAGTGATGTAAATTGGCTTTTTTCAATCATACAGAAACCATTTTTTTATATTAGAAAAGTTCTGGAAGAATATAAATTGATTTATTTTTGGCAAAAAATTATGCACAACTATATATGATAATAAAAAAGTCAAAATATAAAACAAAATGTCCATTATTATTTGCATAAACATGAAAGTCTATTATTAGTAAAATGTTAAAGTAAAATTTATATATATTTGTATTTGCATAAATATATTTGTATATCTATTTATTTCACTTTTTGAATTTTTTATTTAAAAAAATTTTGAAGTTTTTATATTTTTAAATTTCTGTTTTACTAATTCGTGTGGAAAAGGTGGATAATGATAATAATAAAAATTGTAGTTTTATTTCATAAAATCGCTGTCATGCCATTATAGTAGCTAATCGGATTATAAAAGGTTAACTATCAATTGATCTATACTTGAAGATCACTATAATATTATTAGCCCCTTAAGTGGTACATGTCCGGAAAAGTTTCGCTAAAATATTAAATTCCTTTTGACTTATTTCAACTATCTTTTTTAACTCATAGTAAATACAAATTAGATACATTTTATAACGTGTTTTCCAAAAATTTTCATGGAAAATAGCAATAAAGAGAAAATAAATTTAGATATACTTAAAAAATACTTGAAGGGAAAATCACTGTCATTTGAAATCATCACTAAAGAGATTGATGTTAACAATACTTAATTGATAATAATGGTTTCATTAAAAAAATCCCATTAAAATTTCTCATAAAACTCGTAAAAACAAAATGTTGCAACGGCGCTTTGCAGCTTTTAAATAAAAATTTAAACCATCTATTGCTAGTTTGAAAACGATGTCGTGGCATTTCCCGAGAAAACTTCGTATAGCGCGGCTCTATTCGAGCGCGCGCAAAGAGTTAAGAATTATAACTAACCAGGAAACAGTATTGAACGTGAACATTGGAATAGATTAGTGATGTTATCATTTGTATTGTAGGTAATCCAATTGGTTTCCGGCTTCGGTCCATTCATCTATGCCGGTTGCTTCGCTGCAACGCTCTCAAGTGCCTTAGCATCGTTGGTCTCAGCTCCGAAGGTGTTTCAAGCGCTGTGTCTGGATAAGCTGTATCCGGGAATCACGTGGTTTAGCGGCGAGAAAGATAAGGAGCCAATTCGCGGTTATTTCCTCACTTTCGTTATTGCCGTTGGCTTCATTCTAATCGGTAAGTGACAAACGAGCTTCACCGAAAAACCGAGAGAAATTAGTCTCTTTCAGAGATATTAAATTCCTTCATGCATCGACTTCTTTTCTCAGGTGAATTGGACGCGATCGCGCCTCTCATCTCCAACTTCTTCTTGGCTGCGTACACTCTCATCAATTTCAGTACCTTCCACGCTTCTTTAGCTAAGCCGATCGGATGGCGACCGACTTTCAAGGTACACCACACCCGCGTCACTGTCGCGTCGTTGTGTTCCCGCGTTGTCCATTTTGTAGCAATTGTCATCGTTACTGTATCGTTACATATTGTTTCAGTATTACAACATGTGGCTCAGTCTCGCTGGTGCTATCCTCTGTGTTTCTGTGATGTTTCTGATCTCATGGTGGACGGCTTTGATAACGTTATGCGTAGTTTTAGCACTGTACCTAATAGTTCAATACAGGAAGCCCGGTAATTTCAATAATAAGAATATTCGTCTTTATGCACTATACTCGAGAACCGAATTCACTCTACTCTTTTGTCAAAATATCTCTTACAGATGTCAATTGGGGTTCGACCACGCAAGCCCAGACATACAACAATGCGTTGACCGCCGTGCAGCAACTGGACCGAGTGGAGGAGCACGTGAAGAATTACAGGCCACAACTCCTAGTGCTTACTGGCGCGCCCAACGCGAGGTCGTCGCTCGTCGATTTCGCTCATCACATTACTAAGCATCAGAGCTTATTTATTTGCGGTCACATTATCGAGGTATCGTCATCTCGCTTCTTACTAGCACGAGTTTTTTCAGCTTTATGTTCGGCGTGTATATTCGAGTCTTTGCACCGCATATTTTAGACACCTATTTCGTACAAGACGCGCAGCAGCATGGTGGCGAACTGCAACTCCTGGTTCAGAGCAAACAAGGTCAAGGCGTTCTACTCGCTGGTGGACGGCGCGAGTTTCCAAGACGGTGCTACTTCTCTCTTACAGGCCGCCGGGTTGGGCAAAATGAGACCAAACATCCTGCTGATGGGCTACAAGCAAAATTGGGCTTCCTGTCCCCGCGAGAATCTGAATATGTACTTCAACGTCATGCAGTAAGTTATCCCTTCCGTGCGGTTTATACCGTACTTTAGTGAATTTGTCGAGAGAAATAGTAGTTTGTAGTTCCGCGGAGAAGATTACAGTTTTCATCAATTTTTCTCTTCGTCTTGCAGCAAAGCTTTGGATATGCACATAGCAGTAGCACTTCTGCGGATCCAAGATGGCTTAGATTGCAGCATCGCTATTGGAGACGCGGAAGACCCGAAGAAACTTGCGCCCACATCAATACCGGGAAATCAGAGCTTTTCTCAGCTTAGCCAAGGTTCATAAAAAAAGAGAAACAGTTTCACTCCTCCTTGTTCTTCTCACCTCTTTTCTTAGAAGTAATCAAGAAAAGTAATCATATCTAATAAATGGTAATCTTTGCAGCTAGTAGTACTTCGGACATATCGATACCTGGCAGTCCCGCGCCAAGGCGTTCGAAGACGATCAATGAGTATCCCAATGCGTCGTCCGAGGAGCAACGCGAACCTCGACCGTACATAGTGCCGATCGCGAAAGACATAATTAACGTGGTTACGAAGTTCCAACGGAAACACAAGAAAGGTACTATCGACGTATGGTGGCTGTATGATGACGGCGGCTTGACCCTCTTGTTGCCTTACATCATCAGCACGAGGCGCAATTGGTCCAACAGCAAACTAAGGGTCTTCGCTCTTGCCAATAAGAATTCTGAGTTAGAATACGAGCAGAGGAGGTACGTTGTCTCGCCGTATCCAATAGCGCAATATTGTCCACGGTAATTAACGTCTGCCTGAATTCCCACAGTATGGCGAGTCTCCTATCGAAATTTCGAATAGACTATTCCGCTCTGAAGGTGATACCGGATATCTCCAAGCCGGCGCAACCCAGCACAAAAACCTTCTTTGACTCGCTAATAGCTGACTTCCAACAATCAGCCGATCCGAATAATTCTGAGGACGGTATGAATTCTTTTCTCAACGGATTTGTTTTTTTATATGATGATGTAGTTGGCGATGAAATATTTATCTATGCGTGTATCGTGTGCTAATATTGCAATCTTTTTATTGCAGACATTATTAAAGATTCGGAACTCATGGCGATGAAGGAGAAAACCAACAGACATCTTCGTCTACGAGAGCTGTTGCTGGAGAATTCTATGGAGGCCAACTTAGTTGTTATGTGAGTATACGCGTCTACATCGCCTTATTATTGCACGCGGGTATTGTTCGTAATTAATGTTATTAATGTTAATAGGACACTACCGATGCCACGGAAAGGTGCAGTATCAGCGCCCCTTTACATGGCATGGTTAGAGACGCTGACACGCGATATGCCGCCATTCCTATTGGTGCGGGGTAACCACACGTCAGTTTTAACGTTTTATTCATAATGATGTGAGAAGTGGATTGAAATTAAAAAAAACATACACACACAAGGATACATAGACACTGGCTCATAGTTAGCTACGACAACAGTGCCGCAGTATTACAATCGATTGTTCAAAAAGTAAGACTTAATCACTTGTATACGCGGAAAACTGACTCGACTATTGCAGAACGAAAGATTCGGTAACATATCTTTAATTGTCTCTTTTTAATGACGCCAGAAGCAAAAAATTCTTGCAACATACGTTAAAATAAAAATATACATCCATAAAATAACACTTGCACAATCACGATTAAACAAACTTGTAGGATATTCCGTGCGCTCCCCTTTTGCTCTAACAATCAATAATTTACTATAGATTAACCTGAATAGAAATAGGCGAAGAAATAGGTTAAGAAGATGATTTGTATGTCACGTTAATTTACGATAAATTATTGATTGTTACAGCAAAAGGGGAGTGCGCGAAATATCTTACAAATTTGTTTGATCGATTGCAAGAGTTATGGATATATTAATGGATATAAGGATATAAGGATATATATATATATATATATATATATATATATATATATATATTTATTTATTTATTTTAACATATTTTGCAAGAATTTTTTGCATGTTTCGTATTTTTTCGTTTCTAATGTCACTAAAAAGAGATAAACAATGCGAGGGGCCAGCAGCCTTAATGTTATTGATGAACATACTTTTCGTTATGCATGAGTAAATGCTTAGATTGTAAATGAATCGCTGTTAAGGAATGTGTGCCTATAATAAGTAATTTTCATATCTCTGAAAAATATTCGGACATTATAGCAACATTATTTTTTAACATTTAAGAAGTAGGATATTATATAATTTTAAAGGAACTTTAATGTGAATCTCTACGGCGTAAAAAGATAAACTATAATGTGTATAAATACTTAAAATAAATAATGATAAGAGAGAAAAAGAGCTCTAAATGTGACAATTGCAATCTGTAGCATTAATTTTATTCGTTCGTCATGCAACAATATTTTCCCTCGTTCGTGTCTTACCTTAAATCGTCATATTTTATGCGTAAAAACGTTTGAAAAAATTTCTAGGAGGAACAATTTTATTATAAACTTTAGAAGATCGATACCTTCTCACGAGTCGATACACTTAAGAAGGTCACATATCTTTTATTAAAAAATTTAATATTTCTATGTGAACTTATATAAATTCGACGATCGTCGAATATAAAGAACCTATGTGTATCCTATAAATACTGCGCTATAACTAACGGAATTAAAAGATTCGTCTATTTCTCATTAATCTTATAATCTTAATACAATGTTTGTTACAAAAGCGGTTTTATCCGTCGTTACGTTTCGTCGTGAAAAATAGTATAAAAACTAAACGCTGACGTTTAAAATGCAGATCGAACACGTACAGAAGTTGTAACAGCACTACAGAGAGCATTATGGTTACGAGATTGATACGTTGTTATTGTTGTATAAAATACTAAATCGTCATAGCAACGCTTTTTAGCGTTAATACAGAGCAAGACAGAGAGATAAGATAGATCTCTCGTGTGTAATTCTATATACTATATATATATATATATATTTTTTTTTAATTACTACGATACACTTGGTCGCACACGTATCGTGATCCAAGAACAGCCCAAGCGTGTTACACAGCGTCTCGTACGTGTATTAAATTTTATCATACAGAAATTTCGCGTCGATTTCTGTTTAAACTTTTAATTGCGTAACTTCGTTATAACGTGTGACACCACAATAACAACTATCAGTGCTCTTACATACGAGTAACGTTGCGATACATTATTAGGTGATAGATATTTATTTGAATGTTTCGTGAACACGTTTCAGACTAGTTGCAGTAGATGCATTGCAGGAGTCGGAATACTGATAGTCTATAATCACATATGTCTTCCTCTAATTATGTGGAAGTTTCGCAAGTTACAAACAATCTATCAATGCTACCAGTGCGTTCTTGATTAATGTATTGTTTATATAACTATATAATCCTCTTAATTATATAGTTTGAATTACAAGTTAATTTTGATTCAGTTCTGCATTATTAATAGATCAATATTCCAACCCCTTAAATATATGTATATATATATTTTTTTTTATTTATATATAAAATTGAATTTGTGCCATATCATGGTATGTGCCCTAATCGTAAAGTTCAATCACGTCGAGGAGATTACGGGCTGTAAATGTAGTCTTATCGTTATAGTATATTTTTTGAAATATCGCAGAAAGGAGTATAGCTGCATAAAATAGGAAAATAAAATACGAGAAAATTCCGGTACATAAATTTTTAAACAGATCCACAGCTGCCGTCGAAAATAAAAATTATGTGTACAAAAGAACGAGAAATTTAAATAAATGGCAAGCATAGAGCTCGTCCTTGCAAAAGCATAGATATAAATAAATCTGATATAAAAAATCTGAAAATATATATTACTCTTAATCTAAACATATATAAAAAGATTATATATGTGTAATATATTATATATTAATCTCTTCACAAATACTGTATCTTTTTCTTTCAAAATATTAATATAGAAACTCAATATTAATATGGAAACTCTTTGAAATAATCACTTAAGGAAATATTTGTCAAATTGTCGGAATATATTATACGTTAATACCACATCGTCATGTGTTTTGTATAAAACGAAAAAAAAAGAGAGCTCGATTTTACATCTCGTCTTCGCGAGTAACGTAATTAATCGCGAAGTATAGATCTCGCTTCCCTGTCATCGCTTAAATGCTGCGAATATGCCGCGGTCTACGCACCAATAAGCAACATGAGGACAAACCTGAGCTGACTTTCGCCAATTCGGACATACGCAGCGATCTGGTCGGGAACTCCACCTTCTCGGCGAACACCTTACTCGACTGTGGGATTTCGTTTTCCGATCGATGAATGAGCGTGCCGTTCACGTAGAGCACGTTTGCAGCTACATCCTCAGGCACAGTTAACGTTTGATAACTGTACGTCGCTTCTCGTTCGATCCTCTACATCCCGTAACAGAGAAAATAAGAGTATCTTGATACTGAGTGGTTTATTTCTTAAAAAGACTATTATCTGCAAAACGGGATTGAAAATGATCTTGTTATATGAATAGTATTAATAAATAAAAACTGACCTTGAGAACTTCCTGAGATTCTTTTCCAGCTCCTACGCATATAACATCCGGCCCGGCCATTGTAACCAGCGCTTTCAAGCGTTTAGATTCGGCCACCTAGACAGAAAAATATCTGAGTTATTATCTAAAAAATTATGTACGAGAATATAATCGTTAAACAAGTATTGCAATGCACTGAATAAACAATGCGTAGTCATTTTGCCATCATATTTTGTACATTATATTCTGAAGCATTGTCATATTGCTTAAAAGTTGTAAAGATAGAAATTCATATCATATTTAGTTGATCCCATAAAAAACGAGGGAATTATTTTTGGAATTGAATAGCTCTTGTTTTCAAATACATACAGATCTATTTTTATATTGACTAAATAGTCTCTATGTACATGTAAAATATTTAAACTAATATTATCTTCTCATTAATACATTATTGTAGTGTTCATGATGGTTTTTAATATGTCAGCAAAACGTGCATACTGATTTGTGTAATGTACAGACAAGTGCAAATGTGTAATCTAAAGGGTGCATACACTTATACACACACATATATATATACAACTCATATTTAATTACATAATGTTTGTATAGCAATGATTAGAATAAAATAAGGAACGCCCTTTTATTTAAAAGTAAGTAAAACCGTGTGCATGCTAAGGTGAGTGAATAAGTTTGCTGTGGAGTAAGTATTGTCATAGAGTGCACGGTAGTGCTGAGCTAGAACTTGTGTAACTTGTCTTGATTCCAAAAAGCGTTTTATAAAATTTCGAAATACATATTATCACATATGAACAGAATATTCTTAAAAATCGTGCAAGTTTGAGCCTCTATGTAACTTGTGTAAGTTATTTTGTCTCTTTTTCTTTCTTTCTTTAATCAATGAAATATTAAGAGGGTCAGTTTAATGCACCCAAACCTGAAGAGGGGCTGAGGTAAGACTCTCCACTATCACCTCTTCGCCACCATCACCCACCTTAAACGAACATTAGAAAAGTAAGGTGAGTGAGCATGATAAGTCTCTCTATTGAGGTTTGAAGCAAATCCAAGGCGTACATTATTTATATGTTCTATAAACATACAATGTGCTGTGAATAAACACACGAAATGGGTCCCACTAATAAATAAAACATGCTGTATACATATAATGTAAGATGTAAAATGTTTTTAGAAATGGACACATGAATTACATTACAGAGTTAATATCCAATGTGAAGATTTGCTGCTTTGTAAGAATGATATCGAATGAAACATGTAAGGTATGGAATATTTAGAGATGAAACATCTTTTGTCTCAATTTTGACATACATCTAAAGTTGTTATCTTTATGCATAAAGTGGCACATCAAGTAAGTGTCGTTATGACTCTAACATCAATTGTTCAAGACAATCTAATGAGACATTGATACACATGCGGTATATATGATTTTTTAGTAAATTACGAGATATTTGTGATTGTTTGACATCTAGAACAGAATATCAGTAGTTCCCAGATATCAGATGATATGAATGCATCAATTTGTGAGATCCACATAATTACAAACCTTGATAGGTACACAAGGGTATTCTGGAAATGCTGCAGCGACTGCTCGTGCTCCTGCCTCGTTGGTAAAGTGAGATAGTCCAACAAAGAATTCTCTACCTGTAACAAGTTATTTATGACAGTTTAAGGAAGCAAAATTCTAAGAAGCTTTCAATAGTTACAAAAAGAGTATTATCCTTATATACTTAAAAAAAAAAGGTGTCATATATTTTAGTAAAAACTTATATATTGGGACTAAACTAGAAAATACTAAATATATAAAATATATTTAGCAGGAACACAGTGAAACTTACCAGTGAAAAGGACATCTCCACCATCTAGGCGAGCATTCTTGTCGCTTATTTCGATGAGTGGTATTTCTAGTTCTTTTTTCAAGACAGTTCTTATGGTGTCAAGCTGGAAGAAAGATGTCATGATTGAATTTTATTGTGACATCTAGAATATAGTTGTGGTCGTTACCATTCGATTATGATTGCTGTCAGTTATTGGCTCTATAGTTTTGGACATACCTCCTTAAGACGTGACGGCTCGTTCGGCCGTGCAATCAGAGCGATGCCGTTGCAGACGACGGCGACGTCCTCGACGAAGACGCAGAGCGGCGAATTCTCGTCCGGCGGCATCTCAACGACGTCAATGTCGAGCTCGCGCAAGAGCTGTGCCAAGGCCAGGTGCTGCGTCCTAGCTTCGTCCAAGGTTACTTCACCCCGCGTGCGTAACGACAACGGGATCCTGCACAGGATAGCATGTGTGTACCGGTGTAGCGGCATCCTCGAAGGGACCGTTCTCGCGTTCTTTTCGGGTCCGTTTAGCGCGCGCTGCTTCGTCGACAAGTAACACGGAAGAGAAGGCGCACGCCCGGAATTGCAGTTTTATGCGAAATAACTAGATCAGATCTGTCAGTCGCGCGCGCCCGGCTGGTGATCTCGAGAAGCAAATTATCGCAAGGGAATTTGTTTCGGGGTATCTAGTGATAAAGTTGCGTTCGAAAGGATTGAAATGGAATCCAAATAAGGATAATTATATAATTGGCCTGTTCCTTTTAGCTGCACTACTGATCTCATGGTGCAATAAATTATGGCTCTTACACACAGGCCGCGCGGCGGAAGACCGCGCGACAGCCAATCAAGTTGTTTTTCCGTGAGAGCTAGAAGGTTATTACGGAAAGCAGTATATTAATTGGCTGTCGCGCGAACTCCACCACGCGGCAAGCATTACCGCGTCCTGTGTGCAGGAGCCATTAAAGTAAGAAAAAATATATTTGTCGTATAGCATGTTCGACAGACTCTGGGTTAACCCACTCTGGATTATTCAGCCTACGTTTATTGATCGAATAAGTACTTATAAGCTTTATGATTGGCTAGTAAAGACTTATGACGTCATTAATCGCTCTCGGAGCAATTAATCCAGGGTCAGTCGAACACGCTATTACTTTAATTTATTGCAACAATTCAGCAGTGTAAAAAGAACAGACCAATTATTACTACAATTATTAGTACTACCAGAAAGAAGCCTGATGGCTCCTGCACACAGGACGCGGTAATGCTTGCCGCGCGGCGGAAGTTCGCACGACAGCCAATCAATATGCTGTATTCCGTAACAACCTTCTAGCTCTTACGGAAAAACAACATATTGATTGGCTGTCGCACGGATTTCTGCCGCGCGGGAAGCATTACCGCGTTCTGTGTGCAGGAGCCATGACTTCTTATGGTTGGGCGCCATTTGTAAAGCGAGATAAGATATACTTGTCTCACTCTTACTGCACCAATTCAATGCAGCTCTTGTGAGACAAGTATATCTTATCTCGCTCTAATTTATTGTTATAAGAAGTTATTCTTTTCAACGGATTTCTTCTCAATTTGGGGACACGAATCAGGACCACTTTCTCTATTCGCGCCCTATCAAGTTCGGTTTCCTTATCTTTTACTTCATGGATACCACGATAAGTTCTTTTTTGAAACTGCTGCCAACTGTTGAACTTGACATGTAAAATCGCTAGATACAAATTTATTCAAATGCCGACGACAAGATGCGCAGGGGAGGGAAGTCAAGGACGGACTCGTTTAGCAATTGTGTTAATTTTCAGAACGAGGTCAATTGCCTTACTAACCGCGGTAGATTCCCGCCGTTACGTCAACTCGCACTTTTAACACGAGGACGTAATCTGCGAATGACTTAACCTAGCTTCGTGGGTATGCGCAATACCCTCTCCTCTGCTGTGCACGTTGAAATTAAAAGTCCGTCTGTTCGAAAGAATGAGACCTGTCGTGTCGTTCCGTCGTAGCTGATGCACATGTCATTATATATCATAACCAGTACGTCGAAGTTACGGCGACACGACGAAATCGTTGATCAGATTTGATTAACAAAGAGCACCGACATACTTAACCTCAAAAGCTGCTTCCAACGCTTCGTAGGCGGTCGCCTACATCTCAAGGGAAACAGATTCACGTACCGGTGCCGCTTGAGCTGGTAATTGCGCGAGATTTTGCTAAATTGAGCGAAGCGACCGTTGTGTGCGTACATCTGATATTCACGATCTTGATATGACAGAAATTTCACGAACTGTCAAACGCTCAGCTGAGTTCGACATCGGGACAGTGTAGACGTTCGCGCACCGTTGACATAAAATGCGTTTGCATCGAGTGCCGTAACAATGCGCGTCAGGTTCGTTAGGGCGGTCCTGGTGCTCGCGCTGTTGGGAAACATTATCGTCTGGCACAAGATATGGCGATTGTTCACGGCGCAAAATACTCTGCGTCTGCTGACGCCGAGCGTCACCACGAGCGAGCCGCCGCAGAAGTTGCACCACCACCTGGCCCGGCTGGTCACCATCGTCATCAGGCAGTTCGAAAGCTTCGAGAACGACGTCGCGTCCGTGGTGGAGTCCGTACTGAACTCCTTCCCGGCGATACCGATCCTCATAGTCTGCGACGAGCTGCCCTATCCACCTTTGGAGCTGGACTTTGCCAATGAAAGCATGAGGAATGTCAGATTGATCAGCTTGAGACCTGAATTTAACAAGTCCTTCGAGGAGAGGAATCCACTGTACTATATACGCACTAAATTTGTCATGTTCTTGCCTGATGCAACGAGACTGTCGACTAAGCAGACCATTCAGGTAAAGCCATTTTTTATACAATGTAAAAGCAAGATTGAGTAAGTTAACCTCTTTTTAACCAAGTTGAGTTTAAAAAATGGTTTATAAAATTTATTTTGTTAAGATAGAAGCTATATAAACAAAAAACACATTAAGAGTTAAGTTAAAATGAAGTTAAGATAAAATTAAAAGTTGATTGTGCAAATCAATGTGTTTTTTGCATAATTAATTCCTTAATTATAGATTAAATTTAGGTGATAAAAAGTAGTCTTTTACTAGGAAACTTTACTCAGGATTTTATACAAGAAAAGAATTGGTGCTCAGAGAGATGAAAGAAATTCTGCTGGCATTATTTTTTATTTTTCTTACTCTACATTGTTGGCAGCCTGCAGTGGTTTTAGTATTCTCTGATAAATATTATTTTAATTTATATCAAAGTTAAAATAAAGTTAAAATTAAAAAAGTTAATTAAAAGTTAACAAATTAAAGGTTGTTAACTTTTTAACTGGTTAACTCAACTCTGCATAAAGGAAAATGTGACCCTATATTATTTGCTGAGTAATGTTGCTCTCTTTGCAGGAAACCATCTCGCAGGTGCCAAAGTTAGGAATAATTATTGTGCCAGTGGGAAAGATTACTTTGCATTGTCTTAAGTTAGATCTGAGGGTGAAAGAGTGGACTTTGAAAGTGACACGAGTTTCAGGAACAGAATGTGATAGTGTGATGGGCAAACATGTGACTATAATCGATACTAAGATCTTGAGGAAACTCTCAGATCCTTTCTTGCTACCCTTCACAGATGCACTGTACATCCAAACAACAGCTGTAGGTGCAAAGGTTTGTTATTTTCATTGATTTATTGTCTCTTATTCTTGCATTTGTGGCAGTAAAATGCAATTGCTTATTTTTCTTATGTAGCATTGACATGGTTTTGCAATGACTAATTATTAACCAAATATTTTCTAACCTGTTCTTTTGCACACAATCCTGATTTTGTGAATATTTTGTGTTTCGTGTCAATGATTATTAACTAGTGATTACTTTGTAATAATTTTTGCATTTATGGTGATAAAATTAATTCATTTTTCTTATGTAGCATTGACACAGTTTTGCAATGACTGCAAATGCCTTTAAACTTTGTTCTTTTATATATAGTCGTGATTATTTTGTGAAAATTTTGTGTTACATGTCAGTGATTATTAGCCAGTGATTACTTTGTGTTTGAAGACCTTTTTTATTTGGATGGTAAGTATTTCTCTCTCTCTCTCTCTCTCTCTCTCTCTCTCTCTCTCTCTCTCTCTCTTCTTCACATAATGTTTTCTAATATTTTAAAAGTATACAGGTTGCATACTTTTCTCTTATGCATTTTTATATTAATATTTGCAATTACCTTAGAGTCACCAGCCAAGCGAGTACTCATGATGTTTATCGTATTTTCAGATACATATATTGAAGGGTTATCAATTTAACGAGGGGAAACCATTGTACAGAAACCAGCAGGCGCAGTTCAAGGTGCAGCAGTTGCATCGCACGCGAGAACGGCTGATGTTCGAGAAATTGGGGATAAAGAAGATCACGAGAGCTTCCGGTTCCGTGGAGTCGTACGGCTGTTCGCGGGAAACCGCGAGGTGTTTCGGCTCTGTGATAAACGGCGTACCGTCGTATCTCTACCAGGGTCGTTACACGCCGCCTTGTTGCTTAGCCGGATTAAGAAGGGTGACCCACCACGTGATTGACAAGCTTGAGGAAGTGGGCATTCGCTTTTGGTTGGAGGGTCAGTCGCTGTTAGGCGCGATGACGAGCGGCGACATTCTACCTTGGGATCATGAGGTACAAATCGGACTGAATCGAGATGACCTGGCGAGGTCGCCGTGGTTGGTCAGAGCCAAAAACAAACCGGTGGTTGACGACGACGGCTTCGTCTGGGAGAAGGCGACAGAGGGCGAGTTCTTCAAGGTGCAGTACTCCAAGGTGAACCGTCTGCACGTGAATTTGCTGCCGTTCTACGCGCACAACGGATCTATGACGAAGGACGCGTGGTTCCTGAGAAACGGCGACTTCCCGGAGCAGTTTCTCCACCCAATGTCGAGCATTGAGTTCGCCGGTAGACAAGTACCGTGTCCGAATAATATCAGGGACTTTCTTGAGCTCAAGTACTTCAAGGGTGTGATAGAGAATCCGGAGTTGCCTGGCAAATTTATCCTCGATTAGTCCATTCTGATTAATTGCTCGTGAATCGCTCATAGATAGCGACGTGGTGATCGTTACTTCACTTTACACGTCAGATGATACTTCAGGAGCTAAGTCGCATTTAGTGCTGTCGAATTGATAAACGTATCTAACGATACTAGGAATTCCTATCTACGCGCATGAAGACATTAACATCCGAGTAAAGATTACAACTTGACATTTTTGCAACGTTTCCTCGTGTATGGGAACCGACATTTCTATTTGCCTTATTTAGCGTCACCTTCAGTGAGAAGTCACGACAAATAATTGTTATCGAGGTCGTTATCTTTATATCTCTCTGAGTAATTCGGCTTAGAATAGGAGGATTTTCGCGATCTTCTTCCTTGCATGGATCGACCTGTTAACATTGTGCCAAATGAATTTGGTATTTTCAATTAGATCTCGCGGATATAAATGCTAACATCTTTGCAGTGTATATACACACACATGCACACACCCTTCCATTATGTGTATTAACTTTTTACTAGCTTTTCTATTGTCTTTCAATAGAGGTGCTATAGTCTATATTAGAGACTTAAATATTTAATATTAACGATTTAAATTAGAGACCTAGACTCATAATATTTTGAAAATATATTTTGTTTGATATAGAGATATGATGCATTATATTTCGAATAATTATGCAAGATGTCGGAAACAGTTCGTAAATACACACACACACACACACACACACACACACACACACACACACACACACACACACACA